ATACTATTATAGCACTACTGCAAATGTGGTCCTCTAATTTTCGCTATTTTGCACTACTGTAGTACTATTTTGCGCTATTTTAGCACTACTCATTTAGGGGAGACTCAAATAAGATGACAATCCTTTATTTATAGCTCATAGTTCTCAACTCAAGCATTACACACCTCTATAGCTGCAAAATCACCATGATAGCTGACTTATATTTGAGGGCACAACTCAACATAGAACTTGTTATCATGTATAGGATTAGGCTGTCAGCACAGCATTCATACCATGAAACATACTCTATAGCACACTCCATGTTATATACATAGTCCCAGACATTACACATATGCAAGCCTCAACAGGTGAATCTCAAGGTGAGGTGTCACCACTTTGCCCAAGTCCAGCAGTAATGGATATATATAGTACTTGTGGAGAGGATCTGTGTAAGCTCTGGTGGTGCAGTGGTATAGAGCACCCCTTCGAAATAGGAGTGTTATCTGAAAGTGGGGTTGGGGGTTCAAGACTGGGTGAGGACACTTTTTTATAATATTTTTTCCAGCACTTTAAATGCATCTGGAGCTCTTAAACAGATGGTTTTGAGGTCATATTAAGCATTTCTACACTATTCAGAAATTATGGACCCACTCTATCCACTACTATCAACGTCTACTGTAGCACTATCTCCGTCTACTATAGTGCTACTTTGCACGAATTTGCATTAATAGTGCAAAATAGTGCAATTATTTTTGGGGACCTCTCGATTTTGCACTATTTTTCACTATTCAACTACTGTGTCTATTAAGAGCTAATTTGTACTAAATAGGTGTAATTCGCAAAGGTGGTTTTTACAGATGAAGAAGCTCTGCCACAAGGTGTATGGGGTTTCCTGTTTTTCCAAAATTGACCTCGTCGAGTTCGGGTTGGTTGCGGTTGTATTTGACGATTCTGACAAAAGTATGTGCAATACTGTCTGGCTTTATGGCACTGTGTGTGCGTACTCTGACTATGTAGACCGTTTACTGGCTCCACAGACTCCGTTCACAACTTTTTCGGGTGTACTGATTGTTCCGGCAGAGTTTCCTCTATATCCGGCTGTTCTATGCAGTCTGTGCTTGTTCCGCGAGTCTATCTGAGACTCTTTCTGTCTTACCTATGCTGACTAGCCCTCTGACTATCAGCTGACCTGAGTGTTACCAATTGCTAAACCCCAGGAATCCGATCCTGCTAAGGTCCAACTGACTAACACTAACACTATACTTACTTCAACTGCCGAGTCAATATGTCTCTCCCCTCTTAGGAAAGGCTATACAACTCTCAACTGATATGAAACTAGACTTTCTAGCCTCACTATCAATTGCTTATGCAGTTACTGATCTCTTGCTTTAAGCACACTTGCTTTTGAACTGGTGAATTCTTGACTGATTCAATTCTCTTTGGGGGGGCACTTTCAGTCCGGTATATATACCTTTCTGAAGACCTTCCAGAATGTTCTATCTAGCTTTACAAATGTCTATTCTAGTGTCTTACTAAGCGCTTACTAATCTCTGACTAATCGCTTACTAATCCTTACTAATA